CCCTGCTCCTCCCGCACCCTGCTCCTCCTGCACCCTGCCCGTCCCGCACCCTGCCCGTCCCGCCTGCCGGAGGGTCCCCGGAGCAGGGGTGACCCGGCCACCAGCTGCCTCTGCTGCCAGCCCCCCCCGCTCCCGCCTCTGTCGTGCTCAGGGATAGAGGAAACAGTCTTGAAAGGCTTAAACCCTGCATCATTCTGCACGTTAAATCTCTCTTCTTGGGTTCTTTCCAAACATGCAGGGCTGAGGATCAGGCAGGGAGGAGGATCAGGACCAGACGCTGGCATCTGAGGGTTTGCAGCAGTTGCTGCCTTCTCCTGCCTGCTAACTGCCTTGCTGTGAGAGGCACAGGTCCCGGGCAGGAACGGTGCAGGAGCTCGGGACATGGCAAGGATGATGCTGCTGCAGCCAGGGCATCGGTGCCTCTGTAGCTCCCGGGGTGACCTGCACCAGCCCGAGGCAGCACAGCTGAGGGGACAGTCCCGAGTCCTCCCGTGGGGGCAGAACAAGCGATTTAGTTTTACCCCCCGGCCAGAGAACTGCAACCCACAGAGGAGCTGGGCTGGGCAAGAAGCAAGGAGCAGCAGGAGACCAGGGTCTATCCCCCCACGAGCCACCTGCTGCCTGACCCAAAGGGTGAGGAAGGACTGGATGTAGGGCGGTGAGAACATGGGGAGCGGTGACCACAGGGGACAGCAGGGGGCTGGCAGCAAGCCTGGGGAAGGCTCTGTTTTCTTTAGGTCTTCTTTGCTTCTTCGTGCCTGGATCCAAAGGTAAAAAGGCCCTTCCACGGGCCCACCACTGTATCCAGAGGTTACCCACTTCCATAGCTGGTGGCTCGATGTCCCAGTGGAAACCAGTAACGAGTGGAGTCTTTCAGGCATCCATACTGGGACTAGTGGTATGAATATCTTGCTCTGCAGAGGCGTTGCTCTTGCCTTTCAATATATAAAGAGGTCTTGTGAGAGATGGAGGCTTTTACCACGGCATCCGGCAGGTGCCACGGTTTTAACCAGAAACAACACAGGTTTAAATTGGAGGAGGAAGGAACGTTCGCACTGAGGCTGCTGAGGCACCGGCACCAGCCCGGGGAAGCTGCGGGTGCCCCACACTGGAGGAGCTCACAAGTTGGACGGGGCTTTGAGC